GTGATCTCCTCTTGAGCCTCCCCATATTGTTGGTGTGCTATGGGTTGTGTGTCTAGGACAGTGTGGTGTGTGGTGTCTAAGAACAGCTCCAGTTCCTGAATGTCATTAAGGGTCTTAATACGGTCCTCAAGTTGTTGGATCCTGTGTTCCATGTGAGTGATCTGTTTACACTTGGGGCAGATGTAATTAATTGTTGTGTGAAAAAGCTGAACATGCCACAGCTTGTGCATGGGACAGGAAGATGTAGTGTTTGTTCCATCTGCAGGCTGCTAATGATCTCCTCTTGGTGTGTGTTTTATGTTGTTGTCTGTATGCGGGGGTGGAAAGTGTAGGTTAGTGAGTGTGTGAGTTCGCACGCGCGACACTGGCTTTTATAAGGTAAACAGGAAGCAGCAATGACTCAGTCTGAGTCACTCTGAGAACAACGAGCCTTGCCCCGCCTCTCAAACAAAGCACTCAGCAGTTAATTTTAAAAACACACTCAGCAGCTAATTTTAAAAACACACTCAGCAGCTAATTTTAAAGACACACTCAGCAGCTAATTTTAAAGACACACTCAGCAGCTAATTTTAAAGATACATTCAGATTCCTAGTGCCCCCTAAGACAAGGCTTACCTGAAGCAAGAGGGAACAAAATGGCTTCTTGCTTCCTCAACTTCTGTGGGAGCACAACTCCCTTCCTCTCTACTTTCCACTCTTCCTTCCTTGCTCCCTTCCTTCATCCCTTTCTTCCCTTCTCTCACTCCCTTTCTTCCTTCTCTCCCTCCTTTCTCCCTTCAACCCTACCTTCCGCTCTCCCTTCCTTGCTCCCCGTCTTCCTTCTTCACCCCTTCCTTCATTCCTCCCTTCCTCCCTTCCTTCCTCCCTTTCTTCCTTCTCTTCTTCCTTTCTTACTTCATTCCTCCCGTCATCCCTTCCTTCCGCTCTTCCTTCTTGATTGCAAGTTAATAATAAGTCTCCCGAGTACTCTTTGTTACACTCAGCCTTTACAGGTTATTCATGGAGCACTTGCGGCTTTTTGCCGCTGCAAACAGAAATTTGGCCACCTGTTCCGTTACCCTTTTATCAAGATCAGACAGTAAATAAGTGCAGTACCCACTTAGGGATCTTCCTGGCCACTTGGTGAGAAGAGGGGATATTAACCTTAGTCTATCATCCTTGTAAATTGTGCAAATAAAAAGTACATGTATTACAGTTTCCATTTTTCCCTCCCCGCAAGGGCAAACTCTGTGTTCATAATCAGTCCCTTTGTAACTACCCTTTAGTATGGCTGATTTGAGGGCATTGAATCTGGCCCAACTGAAAGCAAGGCAAAATTTTGGGATGTTTAAATTTTCTAAGTATTTGGCACCTCCCAAAGAATTAAATGTTAGGCCTAAACTCAATGGAGAGCATGTGGAGCRCGCCARATTGTCTATGWCAYTGAGTMCTGWTTGTCTRTGTCACTGATYCGTTCYGCTAAGATCTGCATTAACTTTTTATGCTCAAAACYRCTCAATRTATTCTCTGAGAGGCCCATCTGCCTGAGTTTCTGATTTAGCGCTTTGATTCGGTGGGATTTAAAGAGGTCTTTTTGAATCAGATATGTGTATCCCGCTTCAGGCCCTATGTGCACCCTCTCCGTCCAATATCCTAGGGCCCTTCTCCAAGCCAGTGATTCGAGTGAGGCTGTTCCTGATTCCAGCCTTAACACAGCAGATGGAACACAACTGGGGACAGCAAACAGTTTTCTGAGAAATCCTGATTGAACTTGTTCTACTTTAGATGTGAAGCCTGTGATCCATACCGGAATTGCGTATAATAAT